GCAACCATTTGTGAGCAGTTTTTTATTAACTTACACACTTCACAAGAGGTACATGGCAAACCATTTTCTGATTGTATAAGGCATCTGCTCCCACTGTTCTCAAGCACACAGATTTGCATGCAGTACATCACAGTCACCTCAGAAATTAACTCTTCCTCACATTTTTATAGCAATCAACATTTAAAAGGGTCTTCCTAGTAAAGTCATTTGACTTCAAGAGCCAGGTAGGAAGGGGCAGGTAGCCCGGATGAAAAGCCGGTAGAAAAGTCGGTAGACTAAACGGACCCCCTTTAGAGCAGGCCATGCTCATCAGCCTCTAAAATGTTTGAGGGACTCACCAGTCTTAATTTCCTATGTGAATCTGTAATTGACTGCAGAGGTCAATTTTAGTGGATGCCTCATATAAATGAAAATTGAAGATAATGATGCTTGTTCACTTGATCAACTAAAATGACCAGCTGGGTTTAATGGGAAGAAAACAGAAACCCTTGAGAAATTGGAATCACTTCAAAGGTGAAAGAAAGTCATTATTTTTCTGTAATGCTACTTCTCCAAACGTGAATGGCCATTGCCTTTGTGAGCACCTAGGCCAATATATTATGAAGTTAGATAGTATCAGAGCCACTGACCATACTAAAAAAACACAAGTTAAGGGTCAGCATTCTGTCAAGGCATTGGAGAAAAGTAGATTTCCTTTGCACCTTATTTTAATAATTTCATTTAGTTAGGTACTTGGAGAGACTGACTGACTGACTTCCCAAGAGGTGAATTCTAATTTAGATTAGTTCCAAAGTATTTCCTCTTAATAACCATAAAATCTTTGTTGGATTTGCTATATTTAGCCATAAAGCAGTATCACTTTACCAATGTAAATCTGAAAAAAATATTTATATCACCATCCTTTTAATTTACAATAGAAGAAACAAGCTGACTGGACCAAGGTCACAATACTAGAAGGAGGCACAGCTGGGGCTAGAGTTGAGCAGATGAAATGATGAAACCAAAGCTTCTGATTTCAAATACAAGGGTTTTGCTTATGTGTTGCTGATCAGGAGGGGAGGGAGAAGGAATTAATAACTTAATAAAAATCACATTTAAGAAAATTTAGTTTCTACAGGTAGTGGGTGGAAGGAAGACAAAGTTGGGAGAGACAGAGAGCAAAAAACTGGTAGCAAAGCAGATTTTCATGCTCCACACTGACTGATGTGGTAAAATTCTTAACACTCGACCAATGGGCAGCATCATGATAGATGGAAAAAAGAATGAAACTGTCAACAACTTCATCTTTCTTGGATCCACAACACCCTTCCTACCAGCAGTCAGAAAATCAGGAGACGTACTACATTGGGAAAGTCTGCAAATAGGGACCTCTCCAAATTATTTGGGAGTAACAATGTCATTTTGAGGACTAAGGTGCAGCTGATTCAGGCCATGGTCTTTCTGATCACTTGCTATGCATCTGAGACTTGGACAATGAAAAAAGGTGACAAAAGAAGAATTTATGCCTTTGAGCTGTGGTGTTGGAGAAAAGTATTAAACATTCCCTGAAGTGCCAAAAGAACAAACAAATATATCTTGGAAAAGTGCAGCCAGAGTGCCCTTTGGAGGCAAAGATGATGAAGCTTTGCCTCACTTACTTTGAGCATGTTGCTAGGAGGAACTATTCTTTGGAGAGGGACACAATGCTCAAAAAGGCAGAGGGGTAGTGAAGGAGAAGACCCTTAACCAGGTGGATTGACACAATGACTCTTGCAATATCCCATTGTATGTCAAGAAATGTGAGGATGGTGCAGGATAGGACAAGGTTAAATCTGTTGATCACAAAGTTACTCTGGGTAACACTTGATTTGACTGCACCTAACAACAACAACACTAACCAAGGGCTCTGTTCATGGGTACCTATCTTTGTGCACTGAAGGCAGTTATACACACAAATTAAGGGAAGTCTCAGGAGCCTGATTGTCTACCTGACTTGATTATTGACTCTGTTAACTCCTAGCTCTGTGACCTCTGGCAAGTTGCTTTCACTTCTATGCCTCAATTAATCAACTGTATGTTGTTTGATGCCATTGAGTCAGCCCATGACCCATGGTGACATTATGTGTAACTGAGTAATGTTATTTCCAGGGCTTTCTTAGCTGTACTTTTTTTTTGCTTCTGTAAAACTTCTTAGCAAATTTGAAATACCCGCCTTTTTTTAAAATTTTAATAATTTTAATGAACATTTACAGAGATTTTGGATTTTCGTTCATTCATACCAGCCTTTAAGTTAGGAGCCAGTCACAAACAACTGTGCCACCTATATAATAAAGATGATGGATTAGTAATTCTTGGTATAGGTATTAAATATCTTTCCCTATCTATTAAGTAAAGATTAAATATGTTGGTATATGTAAAGAGCACAGAACAGTGCTGGACACATAATAAGTGCTATGTTAATGTTTGCTACTTTTTCTCTTATTTATTAAACTAATGTTATGTATCGAATTGTGTATCTTCAAAATATATGTATATAATGCAATCTTGAAGGTACATGGTTTGAAACCACCAGTTGCTCCACAAGTGGACGGGCCATCTCCTTCTATGCAATTGTTGTTTTGTTATGTACTGTCAAGTTGCCTGTGACTCATAGCAACCCTATTAACCTTGCTCTGTCCTGAGCCAAACTCACTGATTGTAACACACTTAGCCCCATTGCTCCATCTGGCATCTTCCTCTCCTACACTGTCCCCTTTTTCCTTCCAAAAATTATGTCCATCTCCAAGGACCTTTCCCTCCTGACCATGTGCCCAAAGTATGTGAGACAGAGCTTCAAAATCCTAACCTCGAGTGATGCTTGCGCTGGGAGCGATGCCTGCACTCCAGGGGTGAGCAGGACTGCTGAAATTTGAGTGAGGTATTTTGTGTGGATCACTGCTGCTTGGCTGGACCACGTGGAGTCCCTTAAGCTCAAGCAGAAGGGAGCGAGACAACGGGAGCTTGAGTGAGGCAGCAGACCCAATTCTGAAAGGGAAAACCAAGGCTTCTTGGTTTTCCATTCAGGTCTCTATGTATGCTTGCCCTGCATCCCCTCTTGTCCAGTCAATTAACTGCCTTTAGTCTGGAGCACCTTGGAATGGCCTAGCTGCAAAAGATGACAGAAGAGGCTGCTAATTCACAGACCTTTTCTCTCCCGAACTGAAGCAAATCTTCCCTTGAGTCAGAAGTTCAGAGAGAAACCCAGAACGGTAGCTGCCCACCCTCTGGAGTAGTGATGTCAGTTCAAGAACCTGTTATCGCCTCAGATATGAAAAAGTCTATGACAGCCATGTCATGTAAGAAGCAGGTTACCCCACACCCTACACAAGCCCAAAGCAAGATGTTTCCCCCCAAAAAAGTGACACAGTATCAACTGGACTTCCTGAAGCCAGAAAGTCTGACGGAACTTTCTGATACAGAATTTAAAAGAACAATGATTGAATAATTTTAATGGGTGAAAGACAAACTTGAAGAATTACAGGACACTGCAAGCAAACACCAGGGGAGCTTAAAAAAAACAACAGTCCAAAACAATGCAGATAAAACAAATGAAGCTCTAGAGGCTCTAGAAAAACAAAATCCTAGCCTCCAAGGAGAAACTTGGTTTCACCCTCTCAACATAGACTTATTTGTTTTCGTGGTTGTCCATGGTATACTTAAAACTCTTCTCCAGCACCACAACTCAAAGGTATCAATTCTTCACCTGTTATCCTTACTCATTGTCCAGCTCTCTAATGCAGAACTCTGGTGCAAGTACTGTCTCTGAAAACACTCTGGAGGGACACCTATGGGTTAATTTTAAATGGCACACAACAACAACAACGATGAAATAATATAGAAGTTATATAATAATTGCTCATAATATGATAAACTATTGCTAAGGATGTATCCTCACTAGCATCAAGAAAGAACTGCCAGGAATGGAGTGTATTTTTTGGACCCAGGCCCCTGTGAGAGGAAGTTCCTTGACACTGGAAAGGCTGAGAGATGCTAAGGAAACAAGGACTTTCCTCCACAAAGGAGGCAAGGCCTGGAGCAGATGGAAGTGTAGAGCGCCTCCTCCTAGAGCAGGCCCAATGGAATTGGACTCCAAGCCTTCTAGATTGTTAGAGAATAAATTTATGTTTGTTAAAGCCATCCACTTGTTGTATTTCTGCTAAAGCAGCATGAGAAAACTAAGATAGTCAGAAAATTGTAAGAATTTCAGCATATAGCTACAAATCATACTATAATAAAAAAATCTACACAAGTGCTTTCTCTGAGACATACTCCAATAAAATTTATTAGAAAGATTCAGGAATCCATTAACAAACTTTTCTCTCTTTGTAAGCAACTGATTTATCACACATATTTGTTGCAATTTAAGTTCAACTTGTGTTTGACGGTTGTTGTTTCTGGGTTTGGTTTTAAAAAAAAATGACTGAAGGGACTTTATTCTTTAAAAAAATTTAGTGATAGTCCAAGTTTCATAAAATAATATGAAAAGCTTCAATAGCAAAAGACTCACTAAAAATGCATATTCACTGCAAAAAGTAAAGATGAGTGTTACAGAACAAGAAAGTAGTGCTGATGTTATTAGAGTATGCAGTCATTTAAGGATGTTCCTTTTGTCCTCCCTACAGCAGGTTCTTAGACAGTCTTAACTCTTTTTTTTTACTTATGAATTTAAAGCTATCCAAGCTATCATTAATATTGTATTTAGGTATTTAGGATAGTCTCCTGTCCCAAAACTAACAGCATAGATCTTGTAGCAATTAAGACCAGGTCAGATGTGCCTGAAATGAGCACCATATGTGGATTTAGTTGGACTGTCATTTCCCCCCTTTATTTCTTTGTTCCCTAGAATTAATTCTAACAATTTCAAGGGGGGAAAGTAATTTTCCTATTCCCTGACTTTTTAACGAAAAAATTTTAGCAATTTTATGCATAAAAAAGAATTCTTAAAAGCTGTTAAGAACTTTTCCATAATTGGTCATTGATTTTTAAGACATTGGGAGATCATGGTAAGCTGCGTATCTTCCGGTCACATGATGGTAAATCTGTAAGGAAAATCAAGAGTTTAGACTTTCAAATGACATTTCATGATAAAGTCTAACTATTATAAGCCATTATCTCCTCCCAACCTACATCAGGGGGGAGGTATACTTGGAAGAAGGCAGAGGTTTGGATATGATGAAGTTTTCATCTCTAGTTCTCTATTATAATCCTACCACAGCCTAAGGAATGACTTTCTGTTTCTTTCTTTAGAATATTTGCCACTTTATCCCAAGGCACCAGTTTATTACTCACCTGTCTCTCGATGTCTGAAAGCAGGGTGCTGGCACCAATTCGAAAGAGTTCAGGCTTCAACCACTCATCTCCTAGCTCCTCCTTTACAAGAGAGAGCCAAGCAAGGGAATCTTTGGCACTGCGGATGCCTCCTGCTGGTTTAAACCCTATCTACAAAGGAAGACAGGGGACAGAAGATTACTGATTATCATCTTACTGATTTAAAGAATGTTACTAAATTTACACAAGGTCTCCAATTCTCTCTCCTGAGACTCTAGACTCTTCACATCATCCAAAAGAAGAACTCAGATCACCTCCTTATGTCTATTCACACTGCAAAATAACTTCCCCAAGATCAATGGAGAGAATGTCACTGCTTCAGAGGAGACACTAATGAGAGTTAATAACCTTAATTAACCTTTCATTTATTGGAAAGTCATAAGCCTCAACCATCTAGACTAAAGCTTTGAAGATGAGATAAACAAGCAGAAGTGCCAGTAAATAGTAAAACAGGTATCACAAAAGCCCATTCGTACTACATGTCTATAAGGAAGCCTACATAGTTCACCTTTCAGCCTTCCTCTGGTGGTTAAAATGGCATATACATCTTTAAACAGAAAAGACAATGGGAGAATTCACAAAGCCATGTCAACCAAACTGGCAGCAATCCACCAAAGAGACCTGCTCCCTTTTGACCAAGTTACTTTCAGAGACAGGTTGATACAAAAACTGGAGTTAATGGGGGTAGGTGTCCATGTGAGAACTGAGAGTCTAACTAAAGAAATAGAAGTGAGAGTATAGTGTGCATTTGAGAGATATCCATGTTCAGGAGGAGGGAAGACAGGACTTCACTGGCTAGGCTGTTGTGTGGTGAGAAAAATGGTGTGGTCCTGCTTATGTGAGGTTGCCAGATTGGATCGCCAAGGTTTTTGCTTGAGTTGTTTATCCATTCATGTCTCCTTACTGTCTAATTATGTAGCAGTTACTTCCTGGGGGGTCCTACCTAGCAAACTAGCAACTCTAAGTAAAGTGTGCTTTGTTCTTGGATGATGGCATTTTGATTACTTCTATCTATAGGTTCTCTAGTCCACTGGGGAGTCAAGTTTCTTCAACAAGTACATTCAGATAAACAGGGTTTTATCGACTATGGAACACGTTTGTCTTTTGCCAATGGACCCAGGATCATCACTGTTGTCTGATATCATCTGAATATTGCTATTAATGGTCATACTTCAAAGGCTACTGTGTGTAACACCATCTTTTTCTACTTTGCTTTTGTAATTGGCTCTCTGTTTTTAAAAATTCTGTATACCTGCAGATTTTAAAAAAGCAGAAAAAAAATCTCTGAAGGTTGTTGTCGTTATGTGCCATCGACTCACTTGTGACTCATAGCGATCTATGTAAATAGCTGAGCTCTACTCTATCCCCGATCCTCTTATACGCCACACAATTATTCAGTAGCAGTGCAGAGATCCTAACCATATTACTCCAGAGCCCAAGCAATGCATGACTCTAGAAGTGGAAGGATATGGGAGGAGACAGAATAAGTGAGACGTGGCTATTTGTTGAAAAGAGACATATCCATAAAATTAATTAATTGATACAGCATGTGAATAATCATAGGAGCACTTCCATCACTAGGCAGTGCTGTAAATACAGATTTTTCAATATATCAGCAAGTCTGCTGGCACAATTTCCAAAGACAGATTTTATTATAAGTTTGTTCTTTCTTCTAAAAGGGAAATAATATAGGAAAATATAGTTCTGCAATGATATCTATTAAACCTCTATTATCTCAGAAGTTATACTCATCATGGTCTGGAACGTTGCCCATCATATTTTAAGACACCCCTTAAATCAATAAGGTAGAAACTTTACAACCCAAAGGTTGTCCAGGCACCTTGTCAACAATCCAAAAGCTGCACCTGATTTGCAGATACATGCACAGACCCTCAGTGAGTTGAATCAAATGTGATTAAAACAAATACATTAAGCATGCACCTATCCTTGACTTAGTAAAACTGTGAGGTACTTTGTCCATTAGCTGATGAAAAAGTTGATAAAATATAAAAGGAAATATTTAAAGTCAGGAAAATATCACGTTCTGTACTCTAGTCTGGAACAACTTTGTGTACTTCTGTTGAACAATTAATTTTTACTTGAATGAAAGATTACAGAGCAAATTGGCTTTTCATTCATACACACTTTGTTTTGTAACATCAAATATCCACGAAGTAATCACACTCTTTTAATCTCCTTCCTGTGACTCTCACTTCCAATAATGATCTATCACACATGTTCCTGTCTTGAAGGTTTTATCCTCGGACAGATGCTGTTCTTTGTTATTAGATGGCTGGTTATTCTAAGGAGTGACTAACTCCTCGATGTTACTGGTTACCTGACAGGCCTGTCTCTTATTTGGCTGAAAGCTGAGACATAGTGGGCTTGAACTTTTTGGTTTTGAAGGGAGTGACTAAAGGTCATAGTCCTGAGCGTGGTGTCATAGGTATCTTTCAGACTGATAAGCCTGGTCTTTTTTTAAATTTTAGTTTTCTTCCACATTTCCTCCCACTGTATCCAGGTTCTTCTACTGTTATTCCTTTTAGAGTAGTCAGAGTTAGTAGCCAGGCTCCTCTATTTATTCTGGTTTCAGAATTATGGAAGTCAAGATTCACAAGGTTCAGTAGTTGTTAGGGCTAACTTTCTTACACATCTTTGCTTTTCTTTCTTCCTTTCTTCCAGAAATGGAGAGAGCAGCAGTAGTAGCGACTTTAGAGCACTTGAAGTTTTTAATGAAAATTCCTTTATTTTTGTGTAAGGGCTCTTACTCATTCATTTTGTATACCTAGCATGTAACACATGAGCCCTGGTGGTGCAATGGTTAAGAAGCCTGTTGTTATATGCCTTTGAGTTGCTGGCAACTCACAGCAACCTTATCTACAACAGCTTTGAACCTTGCCCATCCTGAGCCAATCTCACTGTTTCCAAACACACTCCACCCAATATCTCCAGTAACTGGGTCAATCCACCTCCTCCTGGGTCATCCTCTCTTCAGTTGTCCCTCTACCATTCCAACCAAGATGTTCTTCTCCAAGGACTAGACTCTCCTGGCTATGTGCCTAAAGTATGTGAGACAAAGCTTTAAAATCCTTGCCTCCAGTGAGCAACTTGGTTTCACCCTATCCAGGACTAAACTGTTTGTTCTCCTGGTAGTTCACAGTATATTCAACATGTTTCTCTAGCACCATAACTCAAAGGCATAGATTCTTCTATCATCCTTAGTCACTGTCCAGCTCTCTGATGTATAGCAAGTAATTTCGAAGACCTTGGCCTAGATCTGGCGCACCTTATTCTCTAGGCTGACACTGTTGCTCTTCAATACTTTAGGGAGATCTATAACAGCTGAATTTCCCAATGTAATTTGTGTTTTGATTTCTTGGCTGCTGGTGCCAAGAGTGTTGATTGTGAAACCAAGCAAGCTGAAATTGTTAACAACCTTAAATCTCTTCTCCAACTTTCATGAAGTTGCCAATTGGCCCAGTAGTAAGAATCTTTGTTGTTGTTTTTTTTTTATGTTGCGCTTCACTCCATATTGAATACTACAGTCCTTGACCTTCTTCAGCATACACCTCATATCCTCCTCAGATTCAGCAAGCAAGGTTGTGTCTTCTGCATAATACAGGTTGTTAATGAGGCTTCCTCCAATACCACATTCCTCCTTATAAAGCTCAGCCTCCCAAATTATCTGTTCTGCATATAGATTGGAAATGTATAGAGATAGGTTATATCCTTGATGTACACCTTTCCTGATCCTGAATCATGTACTGTTTCCCTATCCTATTCTGACTATTGCTTCCTGGTCTAAGGATAGGTTTCGCACAAGCACAATTAAGTGTTCTGGGATTCCCATTCTTCTCAAGGTCAGCCATGATTTGTTGTAATAGACACAGCCAATGCTTTTGCATAGCCAATGGAACACAGATAGACATTCCTCTGGTATTCTCTACTTTCAGTCAAGATCCATCTAATGTTGGCTGTGATTTTCCTAGTGCCATGGCACCTTCTAAACCCAGCTTGCACATCTGGCAGTTCTCTGCTGATGTACTATTCCAGTTATTTTTGGATAATCTTCAAAAGGATCTTGCTTACATGTGATATTAGTGATACTGTCTGATAATTTCCAGACTCTTTCAGGTCACCTTTTTTTGGAATGGGAATAAATATTGATCTCTTCCAGTCACTTGGCCAGGTAGCTGTCCTCCAGATTTCTTGGCACAACCTGGTGAGCTCAGCCAGGGCAGCATGTGTTTGCTGAAATATGTCAACTGGTATTCCATTAATTCCTGGAGCCTTGTTTTCTGCCATTTCCTTCAGAGCTGCTTGAATTTCCCAAAATACTGGTGGTTCAAACCCACTCAGTGGTGCCTACCAATATACTCCTGTAAAGATTACAGCCTACCTGAGACAGTTATCCTTTGTTACAGGGGGTCACTTTGACTAAAAACTGACTCCAAGGCACCTAATAACAGGAGCATTTAACAAAGAACCTGGTACATGGTAATTACTCAATGTTGTTGAGAACAAAACAGAACTGGGTACCCAAAAGGAGGGGGAAGATGAGTTTTAACACTGGCTTCATGTCATCATCACCCATAAATCATATAATACATTAGATGCCTAAGTACCACCACCACTTCCATCCCTGACCCAGAACTGACAGAAAAAGGAAACCCAGATAGCTATAGGTATAAAAGTTTCATACCTTATTTTATATTCTTTGACCAAGAACAAGAATTACTGGTCTAATAAGTGGTAGTATCCTAACTTGAAGGGTAGGGATACAAAATTTTATATTTTAAAGCTTATCTATGGAAGGAAAGAATATGTGAATAATTGCAGAAAGGCAACTAAAATGGCATTTAGTTAAGGGGTGGTGAGTTTCACAAGTAGGTCAAGAGAGATAATTACCCTATTAGTATTTTTAAGATATAAAATTATTTTGAAGGAGAGAATGCTGGGAGAAGTTCATGTTCTCTTAAAACCAGTACATTCTACAGAGGTCTTGTATTGTCCAAAATAACTGATGCTTTAGTCATGCAAAAAGCATCACATACAGTTGGCAAAAGATTAAAGGTCTTCTGTGGGTTTCCGTTCAGCAGAAATCAAGAGATTGGTTTAAAAACATGTGTTTGAGGAAAAGAAAGTCTCGTGTTAGGCAAACAACAAAAACACATTACCTTTTTCTGAGGTAAAACTAAAAAATTTTTTTTTAGGTAATTTTAGCTAAACTAGTAACTTGAAGTGAAAAATCCAAACTCATTTAAAAACAAAACAAATAAAAATACCTCATACACATTTTTCCTTTTAACTTGCTGTTTCCAAAAATATGTATTATTTTTCGAAAAGCTGACAAAAGCTAGTATATACTCTCCTCAGCTTAACAGTCTTCCAAAGAGCACATCCAACTGCCATAAAACGCAAAAATGGATATTTAATTCAAGAGCTATATAACGTCTAGCTACCTTTTCCCTGCTGTTTCACAGCATTTCATTATTTTGTTTAATAAGTTCATCTCCTCGAGAATTTTCTCTTCACCTCATATTATTAAAAGTAATAAGTTTTTCTGGACCGGGGGTTTCCCAACAGAAAAACCAATTTATGTGTGTCCTTCAATAATGACAGGAAAAGATTATTTCCCATTATATTGCATACTTTTCATATCACCACCACAGCTTATCATTCAATAAATGTTACTCTGCAATTCTTTCCATTCCTCAAGGAAGTTTAATTTCTGCATTAACCTGTTTTCACTGGCCAACGCCTTGCCAGAAAGCCTCTGTGTAGCAGCAGAATTAGTTAGTTAAAGAACCCATTTAGGAATCTCTTGTCAGTGATAAAATTGTCTTCAGTTAATAAAAGGACTAAAGTGAGTTTACATCTTGATCACACATTCTTACTCCCACACTCACACTCACTTTCTGTTAATCACACATTTTCCTCCACAAATGTGCTTCTTTTGTAATGAAAGGTAAATTAAACATTTATCTTAATAAAGGTAACTCATTCACACCTTTTGCATATAAAGACAGTTATCGTGGCTGTAACAAGTATTATAAATAACATTCTCTTTACCCTGAAGAAAGATTTGCTGGCAATAATATATACCTTATTTCCAGTTTTCCAGAAGAAATCTCTAATGGCCCGTAGCATTACTATAGCTACTGGGAAGGTGGCATTTACTGCTTCTTTTCCGGTTGAAGTCTTAATAAAATCTGATCCTATAACAGAAGAAGAAAAGCTCCATGTTAATTAAAAACTTATTTTTTACACTTTTGAGTCAAATGGAAGAAATTAGTTGTTTAAATGTTTTCCTGAACAACTTTCTCTTTCATTAGTTATCTGAAAACGAAAAATAGAAAAAAATATTTTTCACACTTAGGGGACACTGAGGTTCTATTAAGGGTGATGGAAAAATATGAGGATGCTGATGATGGTGATTGTATACCTTGATCAATATGTTTAATATCTACTGCACAAGTGAAGATTGCTAGAGACAAATGTTTTGTTACCCGTGTATTTATTGTTGTTACGTGCTGTTGAGTGAGACTGATTCATATCTGACCCTCCACCAAGTTTTTAGAGGCTATAAACTGCATGGGAGGAACTGTCCATCTTTTTCCCCCAGAGCAGTCAATCTGCCTGCCTTTGAGTTGACAGCACAACTCTTTTACCCACTACCAATAAAGCTCCCAACCAATAAAATTACAATTTAAAAAAAAAACAACATCAAATTATGGCTTTGGCTATTATGTTTTTTTCCAAAATGGAAATGTGAAACAATGAATTTTTAAAGTCTTCCTTTAAAACAATTCTATCCATGTTTTGTTTTTTTCTTCCCCATAGGCAACAAATGGATTCTCACTAACTTCAGGGACTCTGGCTTTTATTAAAAACTCACCGCTCTCAAATTAGTTATGACTCATAATGACCCTCCATTAGGTTTCTGAGGCTACAAATCTTTATGGCAAGAGGCTGCCGATCTTTCTTTTTTTGGAACTGCTGGTGGATTCTGTCAACATTTCAGTTTGCAGCCTGATATGTTACTCACAATGCCACCAGAATTGAGTAGACCCTATGAACAACAAACCCGAACCCTGTTCTATCCTGTGCCATCGTAATCATCTCTGACACACTTGTGTTTATTTCTGTGTCAATCCATCTCATTGAGGGTTTTCCCCTCCACTTTCCTCTTTTATTGACCCTCCACCAGTGGTGGAAAGGTTTCTAAGCATAAAGTACTTTCTCAATGAATCGCCTCTTCCAGTGATCAGTGCAAAGTATGAGAGATGACGCTTCACCTTTTTGCCTCCAAAGAGCACTGTGGCTGCACTTTCCCCATAACATATCTGTTTTTATTTTGGCAATTCATGGGATATTCAGTACTTTTTTCCCCAACACCACAGCTCAAAGGCATCATTTCTTCTATCATCCTTATTCTCTGTCTAGTGTTCAGATGCAAGTAACTGAAGGGACTAGAGTCTTCAGGCACATCTTAGCCTTCAAACTGTCATCACTGCCCTTCAGCAATTTGGAGAGGTCCCTAAAAGCAGATTTGTCCAATACAATATGGCTCCTGATCTCCTGACTGCTGGTTCCCAAGGGTGCTGACTGTTGAACCAATCAAGATTAAATCATTGACAATTTTAATCCTTTCTCCATCTATCATGTGTTGTCTATTGGGCCAATGATGAGGGCCTTTATTTTCCTGATGTTGAGATGGAATCTATATTAAAGGCTGTAGCCCTTGATATTGGGCAGCAAGCATTTCAAGGGGAAAACAGATAGCTAGAGGTAAAGCCTAAATGTGAAGGTACTAAAAACAAGGAGAAATGGCTTCAGACAATCATTAGTAACTAGTACGTGGATCACAAGAAGTATAAATGTAGGGAAACTGAAAGTTGTAAATAAATGAAATGGAATCCATGAAGAACGACATCTTGGGCATTAGTGAGCGGACATGGACTGGCATGGGCCACTTCGAATTAGACTTTGCTACTAAGGTCTTTATACTTCCATTTGAAAAAAAGCACAAATTCTCTGCCATCAAGCCAATTCCAAGCAACCCTATAGGACACAACAGAACTTCTGCATCGGGTTTCCCTCGCTGTAGTCTTCATAGATAAAGACTATCATGTTTTTTTTTCCATGGACAAACTAGTAGGTTTGAACCATCGACCTTCTGGATATTAACTCAGACTTATTCATTGTACCACTAGGGCTCCTATATATTCATATCACCAACTAAATAAAGTTGGTTTATTTAACACCTGAGCTAGAAAAAAAAATGTTATGCCCTGTAGTTATTATCCTGTATCATGACATTAGGCAGAAAAACTGGGCTGTTGTACAGTTCAACAAATAGTGCTGGCAAAACTAGACATCAGCCTGCAGAAAATGGAAACAAGATCCACATCTCAAATCATACACAAAAAATGATCTCAAGGTGGATCAGAGACCTAGAGAAAAAGACCAAAATCATAAGGATCATAAGAGACAAAATGGGACCAAGCTTAGAAACCCTCGTCTATGGAATAAATAGGGTTGCAAATATAGCCAGAAATGCACAACCAGGACAGAGCAAAACTGACAAACGGGACCTTCTAAAAATTAAGTTCCTATGTACATCAATATGGTGGAAAGAAAAATCTACAGATCAGGGGAGGAAAAACTTGGCAATTACATTTTAGAAAAGGGTCTAATAATGAAAATTTACAGAATATTACAGAGCCTCCACAAGAAAATTACTGATAATCTGATAACAAAATGGGCAAAAGACATGAAAAAGATTTTTCACTAAGACATACAGACTGCCAACAGATGCATTAAAAAATGCCAAAATCACTATTAATGAGAGTGATGTGAATCAATAACGTGATACCATCACACCCCAGGAGCAGTAGCAAAGTTTAACAGAACAGCAAACAATAAATATTGAAGAGGATGTGGGGAGATTGGAACTCTCATGCACTGACTGTGGGATTGTAAAACAGTACAACCACTAAGGAAGGCAGTTTGATGTTTCTTCAAAAAGCTAAACATAGAAATGCCACATGACCCAGCTATTGCACTGCTAGGAATATACCTTAAGGAAATTAGAACTGGGACACAAATGGAGTCATGTATACCTATATACAAAGCCTCAATGTCAAGAAGACAAAGATTCTCACCACTGGACCAATTGGCAGCATCAGGATGGTGAAGAGATTGAGACTGTTCACAGCTTCAGTTTGCTTGGCTCCACAGTCAACACTCTTGGCACCAGTAGCCAGGAAATTAAAAGGTGCATTGCCATGGGAAAG